AAATAGATCTCGTTGTGCTAGAAAAAAACAAGGCTGTATTTTAACGTAACGTATTAATATATTTGATAAAAACTACATAATTATTGAAAGGGGGAAAATCGCGTAGACATTTCAGACTTGCAAATTTACGATTTGTGTGTTAAAGCTCAGTTATGCAAGATTTAGACTTGACTTGAGTTGAAAATCGTATATCTGGCAAATGAGCAGCGCGTGTATGTGTTACCCAAAAAGCAACTTCACTTAGAAACTTGGAGAACTATAAATTTTTCATTTCTAAGTTAAATTTCTAAGTGCAAAGAGAACCGTGAGAGAATCATGCTGCCATTTAATTTTTTAATAGAATCCCTACAAATATGCCACACAAATATAATTTTTTGTATAAATGTAATTCGTCTGGCAATCGAAAAACAAACTTTCAAATAAAGACAGAAAATAAAATAAAAACTATTACAAATTTTGCTGTAAAAACAAATTAAACGTTTGCAATTTAGGTGCACAAATACAAGTGCTGATATTGATATGAATAGCAAAAGAAAAAGTAATAGGTGACACGCTGAGTAATCGTTTCTAAGTTTCTAGGTAAGTCAAGTCAAGTCTAAGTCTTGCATAACCCAGCTTTTATCTCTATTCAAGTAGGAAATACTCTATACAATGCTCTTCACGTAGACATTTTATGATTTTGACACTTGGTATTTGAGTGCTCAAAGAAGTACAAGGCTATTCACGTAGATTTGTTTGGTTTCGAATATTTACGAATTAGCAAGCACGCTAATTTGATTTTAAGACAAGAATTAGTTTTATAAAAATGATAAAAATCTGGCTGTAGCGCCATATTTTATAAGAAGCTTCTTCATGGCAGAAACACACTGCGAGGTTTGCCTTTGCCTCCCGAGGAGTAACCGCTGTTAGAAAAGCTTTTCTTTTTTAGATGTTTCTCGGACTATGGATCGAAGCGGTCCTACAGAGTGGTATTAAGCAATTAAAAAAATAGACAAACTCTTGAAATTCTTATGAAATTGACATTTCATTTCATAAAATAATTTGGTTTCGTATGACATTTCGCTTGAAAAGCATTTTTGAAAGAACTTAATGTATTACACATGGGCGTACGCAGGTATGCGCTGGGGGCGCAAGGCAAGTTTTTAGCTCGGTTATTTTTGAACCAATTTTAGGTGTTTATATGGCTCTTTTAGTCATTACTTCTAAAATAATGCTTAACTCCGAGTAAAACTAGGAAACATTCATTAAAATCAATAAACAGATAATAACGTTATGACATTTTTTTAATGAGGAAAATTCAAGTTTTTCTATACGAACTATTGCAAGCTGACCAACCGTCCTCTTTCGAGGAGGATTGTCCTCCTCAAACTTGATTTGTCCTCCTCAAAAATATTGTCCTTCTCTGTCTTCCTTTTGAGCAAAAATATCCTACTTGGCCTTCTTTTCAAGTTTTATAACAGTGATGAAATTAAAAAAAAAATTTCGTTCAGCTTATTATTACATATTTCCTAATCGTACACAATCATTGTATTTAAAAGGCGTTTACATTGTTCAACTTTCAGTTAAATGGTGTAAACTTTTGATTCAGCTAACCGCCTGTGAAAGGTGAACAGTGTAAACGCCTTTTAGCCTTAATCAATAATATTTAATACCTTCACTCCCTCATTCATAATTCGAACTCCAATTACCCTTCGAATTACGTAATTCGCCATACAAAATTTTGAGAGCGAATGATGTTGACGTTTGATCAAAAGTATGTTTGCGAACAAATCGCTGTCGTCTCTATTTTCTATCGGTCGTCTCTATTTTCTATCGAAACCAGTTCACAAATCAAAACTGGCACTTTTTCTGACTTGCTGTCTCCACAGGCAAAAGTTTTTATCTTGATAATGTTATCAGACAAAATGTTGTCAATGGAGACCGCATATTGCTCTTGGCAAGCAATAATTGTCAGAGCTTTTATCTTGATAAATATTGCCTGGAATTTGGTACTTTGACAGCTACATTTTCACTTGCGCAATAAATTCGTGGCGGCAACATTATTGATATTTTATTATAAATTTTTAGCAATGACTTAAATTTTCCTTAAATTTTTTAGCGAAAAAAAAAACAACACAGAAATAGAGAACTGTCAAATTTTTAGCAATGACTTAAATTTTCCTTAAATTTTTTAGCGAAAAAAAACAACACAGAAATAGAGAACTATCAAATCAAATCAAGAATATGCGCGTGGGAAAGGGGTAATTCGCGATCGTATTTGGAGGATCGAGCAAAGTAATTCACGGTGCCGTGGGAAAGCCGTATTACACTGAAAGACTAGCTTACGACTCGTCTTCACAGGCGAAAATGATTGCCAGATATGTGTAATTTTTATCAGTGGCAATATTTTTGTGTGTGAGGATTTTTTATCTTGATAAAAGCATTTGTAAGGTGACTTGAAATGAGTATGTTCGCAACGAACAGCGTAAATATATGTACTTTACAAAAAACTAGAACATGTATTTTTCACATCCAAGTATATAATAAAAATTAACACAGGCCCAGCGATGGATGCACACATACTTTTATTACTTTAAACGAGTAATTCTTGTATATTTATGTATATTTATAGCCTTAAATTACCTATTTACTGAGAAGGAAATTCTACCATTTGGAAAAATTTTTATTTCAATTTTAAAAGGTGTCGGTAGGCATTTGCAATTTTCCATGTAAATAACATGTAAAAAAGTTTGTTTTCATTAAAAAATGTTATAACTTTTGCTTACAATGAGATTTTTTGCTCCTCCTGGAATGCTACAAATTTATGGTCACCTTAGCTATTGAAACCTCGAAATGAATCAAATCCAACTGATTAAATTTTTCTGTATAATCACATCGAAGTGATTTTGGAAAAAATCTTTAGAAAATCATAGCTTCCGAAATTGCCTATTGATTTTTATAAATAGTACCTAGTTTTACTAGGAACATTCTTTTCGAAGTAATGATCGAAAGAGACTAATTTATTTGGAAATTTTGGAAAAAAATAATAAAAATTTGTGTTTACTTCAGACTTAGGCCCTTATTGCGAGTGTCGACTGGCAGTGGAATAGAAATTTGTCGATCGAGTCGATTATCTTTTATTTTTGTATTGTGAAACCTGATCGACAAAAATTTGCTCTATTGTGAATGGTTAACTGAATTGACAGCGGTTCGGGTGTTTGCTTACATTTGTAAGCAGTTTGTTTTACTTTTAATTGCTTTGAGCAACTATTTTAAAATTAGTATTTTTGTATAAATAAATTAATAAATGGATACTGTTGAGCTGTGGTTTAGTGACGAGAGTGAAGATGAAAGTGTCAGTTTAACGGAGTTGGCAAAATTGAGAAGGCGGTTGAGAGATTCGTCTAACCCTCTGGAGTTGGAGGACCAAATGTATTCATTTTCATGCATTGCTTAAGCAATTTACTAAACATATCTTTATAGGTTTCTGAAAAATTTTCGTTTGCCAAAACCTGCATCACGTATTTGCTTACACTGCTGGAAAGCAAATTACGAGCAGGTGTAAGAAATACATCAATTCCTACGATTTTAAAGTTATCAGCGACACTGAGGTTCTGTGCTCAGGGATCATATCAACTCAGCGTAGGAAACGAGAGCAATATCGCACTTGGACAATCTACCGTTTCCTTAGTTGTGAGTGAAGTGTTTAAAGTTTTGGAGGAGCACGCATGTAAAGAATGGATATCCATTAAATACTCCGAAGAGGAGAAACGAAAAGCAAAAATTTACTTTTTTGAGAAAAGTGGAATACCAGGCGTAGTAGGTTGCATTGACGGGACACAAAGGACCTTCAACATTAATACTACAACCGGAAAGGATATTTCAGTTTAAATACAATGATAGTAAGTGTTTCGAAGGAAAATCCTTTGAAGTCGATTACTTATTGATTTAATTTTATTTATATTTGTTACAGGTTTGTGATAATGCAATGAAAATTCGCTATGTCAATGCAAAACATCCTGGGGCAACGCACGATTCTGCGGTTTTTAACATGTCTTCCTTAAAACCGCAATTAGAAGATGACTACCGCAGGGGTGAACGGAATATATTATTAGGCTTGTTTGCTCAAAAAAGTGTTACATTTGGATGGTTGTAAAATTAGTATATTCTCTCAGGTGATGCAGGATACGCTCTACAACCCTATATGCTGACTCCATTTCGGAATCCTGAAGAGGGATCTGCAGAGAGTGTATTTAACCAAAAACATTCACAAGCAAGGAATATTGTGGAACGCACAATTGGGGTGCTTAAAAATCGATTTAGGTGCTTGTTAGGTGCTCGCGCACTACACTATGAGGCAAGGAAGGCCACGCAAATAATAAATGTGTGCGCAGCTCTTCATAACATATGCATTGCTTACAATACTGATTTTTCGGATGAAGAAAGCAATATTAATCGAGAAAACCAGTATGGAGCTCAAGATAGCATAGCTGCTGAAATTGGACATATAAATGAAGAAGCCGTCGAAATAAGAAACACCATTTTACGGCAAATGCAACTTCAGTCTTGAATTTTATTTATTTTTTGTACATTTTTTATCACTTCTTTCGTATATTTATTGCTCGATTCAGTCATTTAATTAAAACTAGAAGTTAAAAGTTATAAAAAAAAACAAAAACTTATTTTCATAAAAAAAACCTAAGTTGGTTTGTTGGTTAAATCACATAAAATCAGAATCACATTAATTCAGGTCCAAGCTTAAATATATCCTTAAACTAAACTTAAATATATCGTCAAACTATTGCATTAGGTTTTCCTTTTGCATCTCCAACAGCTGCACTTTTAACCTCAGTTTATCTACCCTATTTCTGGCTTTATTTACAACTTCTTCTTTAAGAAGTGCCATCTTTTCTTTTTTTAATTTAAGTTTTTCTTTTTCTAAAGTCAGTCTTTCGTTTTGAAGCCTGTAAGACTTCCTTGTGTTGCTTTCAATTTGTCTAAGACTATCTTTTATTTATATTTTATTTTATTTCTTTAGCATTTGCTTCCATGGCCTCAAAATGTTCCGATTGACGTTGTACTTGTTTTTCAAGCAACACCAATCTTTTTTGCTTTGAATCGCAATTATTTTTTCTTTGCTTGGAAATACGCTGTGGTTCTATTTCGCATTCTTGGGTTCCTCGCGTATCTGAGTCTTCCAAGGCTTCCCCTATAATTTCGCAAAAGAAATTTTCCTGCTCATTGATTTCTACCGAGTGAGCTCTTGAAGCGCTGCTTCCGATTTCTTCCCCTGGAGGATTGACACAAATGTCGTACTTTAAAAAGTTGACTACAGCTTCCTCTAGTGGCGTAAGGGTATGCAGGTTGTTTTGGCCTTCTCCAGTTGCACGAAACTCCGATCTATTTTCTGATACTTTCTTCTTTGTTTTGCTCTTTAAATCTGTCCAAACCTACATAAAAATATGCCGCATTAATTTATTCAACACAACTTTTATAGAACTTTGTTACCTTTAACCACTTTTCCCAAGAACGCATTGGTGGTCCCAAGCTGTTAAGCTCCACTGCAATGGCTTCCCATCTTGGTTTCGCCCTACTCTTTCCGCAAATTCCTATACCAATGTCCTCATTCTCCTGCATCAGCTCGACCAACCGCGCAAGTTGCCTTTTGTTGCTTACAATTTTTGATCTGTAATTCAGACAAATACATACGTATGTATATTCCACAATTTTATACAACTTCCTGTTCAATTGACTTACTTTTTATCCATTATAGTACCACTTTTTTGTAAAAATTTTGTAGACGAGAACTCCAGCGACTCAGAAATAACAATCGAAAGATGAGCGATTGAAAACCGTTCACAATCGCTAACTGAGCGACTAATCGACACTCATAATAGCATCGACAATCGATAATCGCTTAATAGTCATTTATCTACTGTCAGTCGACATTCGCAATAGGGGTGTTATTCTTACATATATTTTTTTAATTTTGTTATGTACTTCCTTTATGTACAATGTGAAGGTCCAATTAAAGATATGTAAAAATACATACAGTGGTCAAAAAATTATAACCGAACCACTTTTTGCCAAGTTTTAACGTATAATATTTGTTGTTATTGAATTTTTGTTATATTTTTAAATAAAAATATAGTTCCTTATTTGACAAAACCCGTGCAAATCCATGTTTCCAAATTTGAGCAGTCCACTTGCAAAGGCGCTATGTAAATTTTTTTTTAGATTTTTAGTTTTTGGTGAGTAACGTACCAGTCTTTAAAGTAGTTTCATGTCCACTAACAATGCAGTGCAAAATCTTTCTATTTTCTGAAAAAAAAATAGCATCAAATGTTAACTACTATTGCAAAAGTCGCTATAATACTTATTTATACACTTTCAAAAGTCTCCATCTTCTGATGAACTTAGAAAACTGCAAGAAAAAGGGGTAGTTTCGGTGCCTAGAAGCAGACCAATCTTCATGGAAGAGCGAAAGCGAAAAGCAAAAAAAAGATAGCTATGTAAAAGTTATTGTTTCAAAACTCGCTATATTCAATTTTTATATATAAAATTTGCAAAAGTTACCACATTGCCATATTGTTTTTTTAATGTTATTAGGCTCTTGTTTATCCAAATTTTCAGATAATAAAGAGAAATCAAAATCTGTTGAAATAAAAGTGAAACTAAAAAAAATTTTGCCAGAGGTTTTGTAGAAAAAACCAAAATGAAATCATCACTAAAACAATTTATGATTTGCAGAAGACCCTTGAAGACTATTGTTTAGATAAACAAGTATTTTTTTTTAGCAAAAATAAAACCGACTTCAATTCTCATGTAAACTCCTCCTTTTTTTAAAGTCGACTGAAAATAGTGAAAAAATTACGATTTAGGTGTAAACACGAAGTCGCATTTTAAAATTCATGGGTTGGACATGAAACTCGCATTTTTTGCCTGTTTTCAAAGTTTTTTCATAATTATTATGCCTGGCTCGTGGCAATTTCTTATTATTATGAAACCCCTTTACGTATAAAAGGCCTGCAGATGTGCTTTTGAATTCTATTTCTCCTCGTTGCATTTTCTTACTCGTAAACTTAGGTACGTTTTTTTCTTTTAACCATTACATGTAGTACCAACGCTGAATAAGGAATATAGTTCAATAAATTAACTGATGTGAAAAAGCGATCAAAACACAAAGTAATATCATTTTCTACGATTTAGCTGACCAGTTTGCTTACTTCTCTTTCTCCAAGTGTTCCTGCGGTTTCTTCAAGGCCTTTTCCAGAATAAATGTTAAAACCATATGTGTACCCTAGGGTGATTCAAATTTGGAACTTTTTTGAATTTCGAATGAGAACGTTCGGATTCTTGAAGATAAGAGAAAAGACAAGTTTCTTCTAAAATTTCAGCTTATTTGAACAAGATTTAGAGGTCGCTCAACGCTGTTGTTTGTTTTCCGGAAACTACAGATTTTAGATCCATCTTTATTAACAAATAGTTATATTTTCATCAAATCTTGTCGGACTTCGGTGAAATTTCGTAGGTAGGTTCCAAAATATTAGCCTATTGGAACTCAGTTTATATAAGTTCGATATATTAGTTTTAAACGCATTTATTAATTAGTTAGTAACTAAGTTTTGCCTTATATAAAATTAATATTTGCATTATTACTTTTTGTTCCTTAGCCACTGAGCGTATGCTTAATACACCTAAGATCACATTGTAATTCATATAATTAGTGGACCTCATCAATTAAAATTATTAAACATCAAATAACAAAAATCACCAGATAAATATCACTCATATGTAATGTGACCAACTATTTCATAGCTCAAAGAAGTACAGGTTAGGTTGGGTTAAGTTAACGACAAGAGCTGATAACGAAATTTCGAGTGCAGCTAATTTCGATCCCGAGAGCTCAGTGTTTGTTCAGAAGTGCGAACCAAAATGCTTCCATCTTAGCCCCGCGAAAGTTGGACAGTCTAAAAGAAAGTGTGGAGATGATTCCACTTCATCTTCCTCTTGACATCTGATAAAAAAGGAACAGTTTAAATTCCTAGTCTCACCGCATGAATACCAATCGCAGAATGGCCTGTCAGAACCCACATCACTAGCCCTTGAGAGGACATGTGTTTTAAAGTGCAAGATAAAAATATTTGCTGCAGCAGAGAAACGTCTTCTTTTACTTTTTTATGTCACAAAAGGGCCAGGTTTCCCTTAGCCCAATAGGCGGCGCCGTGTTCAACATATATATATTAAGCGCCAGTGTAGGTGTGGTTCCTAATGCTCAGCTAATTCCTATTTTACAAGTGTAGCCTTCTCGAGTGTGTTCCACCAGGGCTCCTTGAAATAATATAGGCTTAAATCTGGTTTCCTAGAGCTAATGAATTATTTTGGGCGAGAGACCTCACATTTTACCGATAGCCCCCTACTGCAGTACAAGGCAACCGAAACCTTTCTTACCCTTTCCACAATATTAGGCTTCCGCGACAGCCGCCGTTGATCGCCCACCTAGTTACCTGGTTCAGGTAACCTTGAGCCAGATCAAAAAAGGTGTATAGAAATCGTCCCTTAACCAAAAGTTTCACATCATCTACATAGGAGATCACCCGACAGCCTAATTTTTCCAGCTTCTCTAGAAGGTCGTTTACAACCGCAATCCAGAGCAGGGGAGAGAGAACACCACCTTGTGGAGCGCTCCTAATGGCTCTGCACTGAGTGCAGTCGCTGATCCACTCTGCCGCAACTGTTCGTTCAATTCAACAATTTTTATTTTAACTCTTCAATAAGTTATAATAAATTCCTTTGTAGGGCTCGGTACAACTCAATTGTTACAATACCCTGCAGGAAATGTATCTAACTATACGCTAACTTTAAGTTGATTAGGAAGGAGCTATAACTCACTTATTATCTGTATATTTTCTTTGACGAAAGCTAACTATATTTCTATGGCGATGGCCGCGAAATACTCAGGGGTAGTTACCTCTGCATTAGATGTAGTCAAGGGTGGTTACCTCTGCATTTGATGTAATTAGCTGGCAACTAACCACTTTTGGGCATAAAATATCAATAGGAAAAACAAAATATTTTTTTTTAATTTATTTATTTTTTTATTTATTAACTTTATTTATTTTATCACATTTTATATTCGTTTACATATTCTGCTGTAGGTGGTACCATATTCGAACTCCGTCAGACATAACTTCAAAATGATAATATGAAATTTCGATCTTCCTTTTATTTGTCCTCAATTCGAAAAAGTATTTGCGAAGTGCAGGATATTTAAATAGAAACGCGTTTAAAGAAAACAAGCTCGAGCTTTACTCCTGCAATACTTGTCCACTTGTTTCAAGTTAGCTTTTTGTAGCTAACTACAAGCTATATATTTTATAGAAATCCCAAAAAAAGCCTAACTACAAGTAGGTTATTTTTTATCAATTGATAATTTTTTTTTGCAGAGAAACAAGTATTTTTTAAGCAAAAAAAACAACCGGCTTCAATTCTAAAATAAAAATTTAGAAGTACCGTTAATTTCTTCATAATCCAATGATCGAATCTAAACTAAATTAGTATGGGACCACCCCTGAGAAAGCTAATTATCGAAATCGGTTACTGTGGTCCAAAGTTATGCGGTAACATAAATAAACAAAAAATATTCCGATGAATTGATAACCTCCTCCTTTTTTTGAAGTTGGTTTAAAAGAGAAAAATTAATGACGTAAATTATTATTATTAAATTTACATTGCAAATAATCCCAGATACAAGTGAATTTAAACAAACACTGCATACCTTATGTTTGTAATACTTTTTGGACACAAAAGAGGCAAGCAATTATTTTTTGATTAAACTAAAAATGTGCAAAATAATTTGCATTTATTAAAATTAGCAATTTTTTACCCAAATAAGAAATATTTATACCTCGTTAAGTGGGTTTTTATTTTGAAAATGCCAATTGTCAAAGACAAACAAAAGCTTTTGGGAGGGCTTTTGTTTTTGAGTGTGTATAATAAAATAGAACAG